AGAATTGTTACTCAGGGACACACAGAATTGTTACTCAGGGACACAGAATTGTTACTCAGGGACAGACACAGAATTGTTACTGAGGGACACAGAATTGATTACTGGGGACACAGAATTGTTACTGAGGGACACAGAACTGATACTCAGGGACACAGGGTTACTCAGGACACAGAATTGTTACTCAGGGACACAGAACTGTTACTCAGGGACACAGAATTGTTACTGAGGGACACAGAATTGTTACTGAGGGACACACAGAATTGTTACTCAGGGACACAGAATTGTTACTCAGGGACACAGAATTGTTACTCAGGGACACAGAACTGTTACTCAGGGACACAGAATTGTTACTCAGGGACAGACACAGAATTGTTACTGAGGGACACAGAATTGTTACTGAGGGACACAGAATTGTTACTGAGGGACAAAGAATTGTTACTCAGGGACACAGAATTGTTACTCAGGGACACAGAATTGTTACTCAGGGACAGACACAGAATTGTTACTGAGGGACACAGAATTGTTACTGAGGGACACAGAATTGTTACTGAGGGACACAGAATTGTTACTCAGGGACACAGAATTGTTACTCAGGGACACACAGAATTGTTACTCAGGGACAGACACAGAATTGTTACTGAGGGACACAGAATTGTTACTGAGGGACACAGAATTGTTACTCAGGGACACAGAACTGTTACTCAGGGACACAGAATTGTTACTCAGGGACAGACACAGAATTGTTACTGAGGGACACAGAATTGTTACTCAGGGACACAGAATTGTTACTCAGGGACACAGAATTGTTACTCAGGGACACAGAATTGTTACTCAGGGACACAGAATTGTTACTCAGGGACACAGAACTGTTACTCAGGGACACAGAATTGTTACTCAGGGACACACAGAATTGTTACTGAGGGACACAGAATTGTTACTGAGGGACACAGAATTGTTACTGAGGGACACAGAATTGTTACTGAGGGACACAGAATTGTTACTCAGGGACACAGAATTGTTACTCAGGGACACAGAATTGTTACTCAGGGACACAGAACTGTTACTCAGGGACACAGAATTGTTACTCAGGGACAGACACAGAATTGTTACTGAGGGACACAGAATTGTTACTGAGGGGCACAGAATTGTTACTGAGGGACACAGAATTGTTACTCAGGGACACAGAATTGTTACTCAGGGACACAGAACTGTTACTCAGGGACACAGAATGTTACTCAGGGACACAGAATTGTTACTCAGGGACACAGAATTGTTACTGAGGGACACAGAATTGTTACTGAGGGACACAGAATTGTTACTGAGGGACACAGAATTGTTACTCAGGGACAGACACAGAATTGTTACTCAGGGACAGACACAGAATTGTTACTGAGGGACACAGAATTGTTACTGAGGGACACAGAATTGTTACTGAGGGACATAGAATTGTTACTGAGGGACACAGAATTGTTACTCAGGGACACAGAATTGTTACTCAGGGACACAGAATTGTTACTCAGGGACACAGAACTGTTACTCAGGGACACAGAATTGTTACTCAGGGACACAGAACTGTTACTCAGGGACACAGAATGTTACTCAGGGACAGACAGAATTGTTACTCAGGGACACAGAATTGTTACTGAGGGACACAGAATTGTTACTCAGGGACACAGAATTGTTACTCAGGGACACAGAATTGTTACTGAGGGACACAGAATTGTTACTGAGGGACACAGAATTGTTACTCAGGGACAGACACAGAATTGTTACTGAGGGACACAGAATTGTTACTGAGGGACACAGAATTGTTACTCAGGGACACAGAATTGTTACTCAGGGACACAGAACTGTTACTCAGGGACACAGAATTGTTACTCAGGGACACAGAACTGTTACTCAGGGACACAGAATGTTACTCAGGGACACAGAATCGTTACTCAGGTATGTCAGACAACACAGAGGATGTCGAGGAGGCCATTTTTAGGAGCGAGCAGACGTGGGCAGCAGAGGAAGGGGTCAGGCACACGTCGCAGCCAGAGGCCACATGCTCCCGGTGTCAGCGGTGGCCATGTTCGATTGGGGCTCGGTCGAGCAGACACCTACAGCCAACGGTCGGTGGGTAGTCAGACACAACCGTTGGTCATGGCCCGGGAGCAAGCCCACTGAAATCACGTGTCCTCTACCTGCCCCTGTCCTTTGGTGTTCCCTCACCAAGCGAAGTATCGCATGCTGTGGGCTCAGCCCCACTGTACAGTGAGGAAGAGCTAACAGAGGGCGGTCAGGAACGGGGGGAGACATCCGCCTCTTCAGCAGCCAGGCGAAGAAGTACTGGCGAGGAGAGTGGCTCGGTAGCCGGTCTAGAGACAGGTCTGTCTCCTGACCCACACGCAGCCGAGGGGGCTAGTAGTGAGGCGGAGACCCTAATTGATGATGATGAGGCTGATCGCACTTGGCAGCCTCGTCGTCATCAGGCTATTGCTTCCGCATCATCAGGAGAAGAGGGTGCCAGCTTGGCAGCGAGCAAAACAGTCGGTGGGTTGCCCAGGAGGCAGCAGGGTCGCAGCAGTGTCAGTGGAGGCAAATGGCCACGGAGTAGAGCACCAGCTCCACTGCAGCCTACCACCACGGCCAGTAGTGGTGCCGGTGTGCATGGAGGAAGTAGCAGTCAGCCAGTGAGGAGTAGCGGGGGCAAAGTTTCCTACTCGGCGGTGTGGCAATTTTTCGTCAAGCCGCCCGAGGAAGTAAAAGTAGCGTATGTCGACTATGTGGCCAGAAAGTCAAGCGTGGCCAGGGGGCCCATGTCTCCATCGCCACACTCTGCCATGTGCCACTTTCAGGTCTCCTCACACTGCTGGTGGGTTCCATTTTGTCATAGGGTGCTGGCAGATTACGGGCCTCCCATTGCTGCTGCCAGGCCCGTAATCTGCCATGGGCCTCCGTACCGCCTCCTCATGCTGCTGCCAGGTCCAGAGTGTCTCATGGGTCCCTGTACGGCCTCCCATTGCTGCTGTCTCCATCGCCACACTCTGCCATGTGCCACTTTCAGGTCTCCTCACACTGCTGGTGGGTTCCATTTTGTCATAGGGTGCTGGCAGATTACGGGCCTCCCATTGCTGCTGCCAGGCCCGTAATCTGCCATGGGCCCCTGTACCGCCTCCTCATGCTGCTGCCAGGTCCAGAGTGTGTCTCATGGGTCCCTGTACGGCCTCCCATTGCTGCTGTCTCCATCGCCACACTCTGCCATTTGCCACTTTCAGGTCTCCTCACACTGCTGGTGGGTTCCATTTTGTCATAGGGTGCTGGCAGATTACGGGCCTCCATTGCTGCTGCCAGGCCCGTAATCTGCCATGGGCCCCTGTACCGCCTCCTCATGCTGCTGCCAGGTCCAGAGTGTCTCATGGGTCCCTGTACGGCCTCCCATTGCTGCTGTCTCCATCGCCACACTCTGCCATTTGCCACTTTCAGGTCTCCTCACACTGCTGGTGGGTTCCATTTTGTCATAGGGTGCTGGCAGATTACGGGCCTCCCATTGCTGCTGCCAGGCCCGTAATCTGCCATGGGCCCCTGTACCGCCTCCTCATGCTGCTGCCAGGTCCAGAGTGTCTCATGGGTCCCTGTACGGCCTCCCATTGCTGCTCTCTCTCCATCGCCACACTCTGCCATGTGCCACTTTCAGGTCTCCTCACACTGCTGGTGGGTTCCATTTTGTCATAGGGTGCTGGCAGATTACGGGCCTCCCATTGCTGCTGCCAGGCCCGTAATCTGCCATGGGCCCCCGTTACCGACTCCTCATGCTGCTGCCAGGCCCGTAATCTGTCATGGGCCCCTGTACCGCCTCCTCATGCTGCTGCCAGGTCCAGAGTGTCTCATGGGTCCCTGTACGGCCTCCCATTGCTGCTGTCTCCATCGCCACACTCTGCCATTTGCCACTTTCAGGTCTCCTCACACTGCTGGTGGGTTCCATTTTGTCATAGGGTGCTGGCAGATTACGGGCCTCCCATTGCTGCTGCCAGGCCCGTAATCTGCCATGGGCCCCCGTACTGACTCCTCATGCTGCTGCCAGGCCCGTAATCTGTCATGGGCCCCTGTACCGCCTCCTCATGCTGCTGCCAGGTCCAGAGTGTCTCATGGGTCCCTGTACGGCCTCCCATTGCTGCTGTCTCCATCGCCACACTCTGCCATGTGCCACTTTCAGGTCTCCTCACACTGCTGGTGGGTTCCATTTTGTCATAGGGTGCTGTATGGCCTCCCATTGCTGCTGCCTCCACCGCCACACTGTGGCTCCACACTCTGGTTTTGGCCCCGTGACTGCCCAAATGAGGGAAGTGTGCGGTGATTCTAAGATCGACGGCACTCATCTGCATGTCATACTGACTGACAGTATTATTTCTCTTCCCCAGCAGACGCCAAGGGCATTTAAATTAAAGGTACAGTGTTCTGCACTAATATAAAGGCTCTCTGAAGCCTAGAAACACCGTTTTTAAAGTTAAATTCGCAGCGAATATATTCGCATCGAATCAAATTTATTCCTCGAATTCGCCGAATCAGCCGAATCGAATTTTTGAATACTTCGCTCATCTCTAGTAAGGACCATACATACGGCCAACTGAACGAGCCCTTAAAGTGTCAGTTCTGTCGGTGACAACACTTTGATAATGAGAAAGGAGAGAGGAGACATGGCTGGAAGAACATCCACAACTGCTTAAAACCACCGATCTTTACGACAGTGGTATGTACATCGGCAAATCTGAATACGGATGGCACGTCAAACCGTAAAACAGATAGTCGATGGCAACAAAGGGCTAACAAGGGTCCACTTATGGGAGCCACCAATAGGAAATAAAGACTAGTATAGACACAGGGATCACCTGACGTGTGTGACCAAAGATTGGAAGATTGGTTCCTGCCCTGACCAATTCTGATTTCTTCTATGACATACAGATGGCGAGGTCGTTGTTTGGCGTACATTGCATGAACCCTAGACGCTGGGCTGGAAAGGGAGGTTGGCAGCAACACCATGTGGCTGATAGATCTGAAGGAACTTGGTGATGCTATTGCAACCTTTCTGACCTTTTTTTTTTTACCCAGGAGGAAGCCCTAAAATAATTTTCAGCTTTTGAGGAACCCTTACTGAAACCTATTCATGTGGGATCAATGGGGGAAACGCCCTTAACATTGGTGGACAATAAGAAGAATGTCCCTTACATTAGTCGTCAATGGGAAGAATGTCCCTTACATTAGTCGTCAATGGGAAGAATGTCCCTTACATTGGTGGTCAGTTGGAAGAATGTCCCTTACATTAGGGGTCAGTGGGAAGAATGTCCCTTACATTGGTGGTCAGTGGGAAGAATGCTCCTTACATTGGTGATCAGTGGGAAGAATGTCCCTTACATTGGTGGTCAGTGGGAAGAATGTCCCTTTACATTGGTGTCAGTGGGAAGAATGCTCCTTACATTGGGGGTCAGTGGGAAGAATGTCCCTTACATTGGGGGTCAGTGGGAAGAATGTCCTTACATTGGTGGTCAGTGGGAAGAATGTCCCTTACATTGGTGGTCAGTGGGAAGAATGTCCCTTACATTGGTGGTCAGTGGGAAGAATGTCCCTTACATTGGAGGTCAGTGGGAAGAATGTCCCTTACATTGGTGGTCAGTGGGAAGAATGTTCCTTACATTGGTGATCAATGGGAAGAATGTCCCTTACATTGGTGGTCAGTGGGAAGAATGTCCCTTACATTGGGGGTCAGTGGGAAGAATGCCCCTTACATTGGAGGTCAGTGGGAGGAATGTCCCTTACATTGGGGGTCAGTGGGAAGAATGTCCCTTACATTGGGGGTCAGTGGGAAGAATGTCCCTTACATTGGGGGTCAGTGGGAAGAATGTCCCTTACATTGGGGGTCAGTGGGAAGAATGTCCCTTACATTGGGGATCAGTGGGAAGAATGTCCCTTACATTGGGGATCAGTGGGAAGAATGTCCCTTACATTGGGGGTCAGTGGGAAGAATGTCCTTACATTGGTGGTCAGTGGGAAGAATGTCCCTTACATTGGTGATCAATGGAAGAATGTCCCTTACATTGGTGGTCAGTGGGAAGAATGTCCCCTTACATTGGGGGTCAGTGGGAAGAATGCCCCTTACATTGGAGGTCAGTGGGAGGAATGTCCCTTACATTGGGGGTCAGTAGGAATTCAATGTCCCTTACATTGGGGGTCAGTGGGAAGAATGTCCCTTACATTGGGGGTCAGTGGGAAGAATGTCCTTTACATTGGAGGTCAGTGGGAAGAATGTCCCTTACATTGGGGGTCAGTGGGAAGAATGTGTCCCTTACATTGGTGATCAGTGGGAAGAATGTCCCTTACATTGGAGGTCAGTGGGAAGAATGTCCCTTACATTGGTGGTCAGTGGGAAGAATGTCCCTTACATTGGGGGTCAGTGAGAAGAATGCTCCTTACATTGGGGGTCAGTGGGAAGAATGTCCCTTACATTGGAGGTCAGTGGGAAGAATGTTCCTTACATTGGTGGTCAGTGGGAAGAATGCTCCATACATTGGTGGTCAGTGGGAAGAATGCTCCATACATTGGTGGTCAGTGGGAACAGTGCACCCCTTACAGGGATGGTCATAATGCCACCTCTACAGATAGTTAAAAAGATCATTGGTGTGTTTGTCGTTTGGCACCATCAAATAGGAGGTCTATCAATCACAGCTCATGGAACCCCTAGCAACCTCTGGAGGAACCCTAGTATTTTATAGAACCCTGGTTGAGAATGGCTGTGCTATTGAGTCAGCACGCATCAACATTACAAAAAGGAATGTTCCAGCAACTAGTGGAATCCCCCACTACTGCTGCAAAGGATTCAGGCAGTTCTAAAGGAAATAAAGGGTCCGACCCCGGGACGAAATAGGGGCACCTAAAACAGTGACCACTGCGTGTGGGCAGTGGTGTATTTAGGTTTTGTGCTGCCCTAGGAAACACAAAAATTGCACCCCCCCCCCCGCAGAGAGAGACTGACATTGACCAACAACACCCCAGCTCCCCACCCAAGAGAGCCTTCCATTACCACTGCCCCCCATACACCAGCCACCAACCCCCATAGCGAGAGAGAGAAAGACACTAACCTTCACAGCTCTGGACATCCCCAAATGAGAGTCGGGTTGTACATACACCATCATGAAACCCTCAGCCTCTCTCGGAACCCACCAGGTCCCCATGACATGTGTGTCCCTTCTTCCATCCCTTCTTCCAATGGGCAGTGCTGCCCCCCCCCCCCTGAAAAAATGCCACCCTAGGCAAATGCCTTGTTTGCCTTGTGGTAAATACACCCATGCGTGTGGGCCTCTCTGGGAGATAATTTCGAGTTTTGAAGGCGAGACTACAGGCCTACATTTTAAATCAGGATAAATGTATAATAACACAACACAACATATTGATCGATAAGATCTATCAGACCGGCTTGGATAAGTATATGTTATGAAACACGAATAATCACCGTGATAAACATGTCATGCTTCAGTGCAATTATTAAACACTATTAGACCACCAAAGGGTTTCAGTGAGACAAGGAAAGCAACAGTCAGAGTGACAGTAATGATAGGAAGGACTTTCAATGTAAATGAGAAGTCACGACCAGCAGGTACAAGTACATACAAACAGCATAAATGTGGCAATAATACACAGAAATGTCCATAATGTAAAGAAACCACTTATCTAAATCAATAAAGGAGTCCAACAAGTCTGACTGCATAAAAGGAACATAAGAGAATAGAATTTAAGGTAGAAAAAGGCAATATATAGGATATACAATTATATAATTGTATAAATGGAAACTATTCAAATACCTCTGTCTATAAAAGGGTTGAATTATTGTTGGTGGAGCGCAGGATCCAAGGGTAAGTATAATCTGGTGCGATCTCCAGTTCTCTATTACACGGGGGGTATCCCTATGGGACCCCAGAATGGTCAAAGGAAAGTGGGAGAGATGAGAACATCATGTGATTTTATGGTAAGTCCAGTATAGATTTATCTCAAAACCACAGGTGAATTGCAACGAGTTTCAGGGGCTCAGTACTCTTCATCAGTGCTCATGCTGGTGATGATACCTCTGCCCATAAAAGGTTTGATTTGGTGTTGGTAGAGCGCTGGATCCAAGGGTAAGTATAATTGGTGTGATCTCCAGTTCTCTATTACATGGGGTGAAAATAGAAGTATCAGGGGCTCAGTACTCTTCATCAGTGCACATGCTGGTGATGATACCTCTGAATATAATTTAAGGTAGAAAAAGGCAATATATAGGATATACAATTATATAATTGTATAAATGGGAAACTAAATACCTTGTCTATAAAAGGGTTGAATTATTGTTGGTGGAGCGCAGGATCCAAGGGTAAGTATAATCTGGTGCGATCTCCAGTTCTCTATTACACGGGGGGTATCCCTATGGGACCCCAGAATGGTCAAAGGAAAGTGGGAGAGATGAGAACATCATGTGATTTTATGGTAAGTCCAGTATAGGGCTCAGTACTCTTCAGGGGCTCAGTGCACATGCTGGTGATGATACCTCTGCCCATACCTGTCAGGAATGGACCAAGGGTCGCCAATTAGTGAAAATAGAAGGTACTCTTCATCAGTGCACTTGTGGGTTCGCCAATAGTGGTGGGACTCACCTGCCTTGACTGGCCAGCGGGTGCTCTCAGCAACCAGAGGCTCACTCCTGCAGTCAGCCAAAACACCTGAGGCTGATTGCAGGAGGTGCATATAAGGAATGGCTAGACTTGCAATCAGGGCCTTGGTGTATGTTTCCCAAGAGCCCCTGTACCTGCATCCTGTCTGCTTCCTGTCTGATCCTGCTTGATCCCTGACTCTGATTGAACTCCGCCTGTCCTGACCACTGCTATTCCTGACCACTCTCCAGTCTGCTCCTTTGGTACCTTGTCTGCCTGATTGTTCCTGACCCGGCCCGTCTGACTACGCTCTGCCTGCTCCTTTGTACCTTGCCTGCCCGTTTGCTACCGACCTGGCCTGCCCGACTACGCTTAGTATTGTTCTTTTGTTATCTGTTGGGGGTTTTGGTTTGGTTTGTTTGCACTGTGTTTATGTTTAGTCTTGCACTGCGTTTATGTATTGTTTAGTCTTAAATAAATTATATTGTTTATACTATATCTGAAGCCTGCGTTTCCCTGTGTCAGTCCACACACCTCTGGTCATACCCGGAGCCCTGACAATACCTCTGAATAGAATTTAAGGTAGAAAAAGGCAATATATAGGATATACAATTATATAATTGTATAAATGGAAACTATTCAAATACCTCTGTCTATAAAAGGGTTGAATTATTGTTGGTGGAGCGCTGGATCCAAGGGTAAGTATAATCTGGTGCGATCTCCAGTTCTCTATTACATGGGGGGGGGAGTATCCCTATGGCACCCCAGAATGGCCAAAGGAAAGTGGGAAAGATGAGAACATCATGTGATTTTATGGTTAGTCCAGTACAGATTTATCTCAAAACCACAGGTGAAAATACGAGTTTTGGGGGCTCAGTACTCTTCATCAGTGCTCATGCTGGTGATGATACCTCTGCCCATAAAAGGTTTGATTTGGTGTTGGTGGAGCGCTGGGTCCAAGGGTAAGTATATTCTGGTGCGATCTCCAGTTCTCTATTACACGGGGGTATCCCTATGGGACCCCAGAATGGCCAAAGGAAAGTGGGAAAGATGAGAACATCATGTGATTTTATGGTTAGTCAGTACAGATTTATCTCAAAACCACAGGTGAAAATGCGAGTTTCGGGGGCACAGTACTCTTCATCAGTGCTCATGCTGGTGATGATACCTCTGCCCATAAAAGGATTGATTTGGAGTTGGCGGAGCGTTGGATCCAAGGGTAAGTATATTCTGGTGCGATCTCCAGATCTCTATTACATGGGGGTATCCCTATGGGATCCCAGAATGGTCAAAGGAAAGTGGGAGAGATGGGAACATCATGTGATTTTATGGTACGTCCAGTACAGATTTATCTCAAAACCACAGGTGAAAATACGAGTTTCGGGGGCTCAGTACTCTTCCTCAGTGCTCATGCTGGTGATGATACCTCTGCCCATAAAAGGTTTGATTTGGTGTTGGTGGAGCGCTGGGTCCAAGGGTAAGTATAATCTGGTGCGATCTCCAGTTCTCTATTACAAGGGGGTATCCCTATGGGACCTCAGAATGGTCAAAGGAAAGTGGGAGAGATGGGAACATCACATGATTTTATGGTAAGTCCAGTACAGATTTATCTCAAAACCACAGGTGAAAATACGAGTTTCGGGGGCTCAGTACTCTTCATCAGTGCTCATGCTGGTGATGATACCTCTGCCCATAAATGGTTTGATTTGGTGTTGGTGGAGTGCTGGATCCAAGGGTAAGTTTAAACTGGTGCAATCTCCAGAGGCAGATCTCTATTACACGAGGTATCTGGAATGGTTGAAGGAAAATAGGAAAGATGAGAGGTTTATGTGACTTTATAGTAAGTCC